TTTTTTTCATGTCTAAAGATGAATAAAAATACTTAAGAAAAGAAATCCAGATTGACACTGTCACTATTCATGCATGAAAGGGTTAAGTTTCTATTGTATATTCATCCTCCACCCATAATAAAGAAAACTGAGCCAGTGAAATATCAGAATCTCTGATAAATGAAATAACTGAACTGACAGCATCATTAACATCAAGCACTAAAGAAAAAAAAGAGATGACACAAACTTTTCACTTACTTCTTATTCTGCACTCTGATGTCTCTCCTCTCCAGCACTCAGTCACACTCTGTTCTTCTTTATCAAAGGAGGTGATGATACACAGTCCAATGTAAACATTGGACATGTGAGCATGACTGGTACTGAATGTATTTGAATATTCAAACAAGTAGTTTAAATTGGCTGCACAGAGGTTAAGTGACTGAGAGTGAACTACTGAAAACTAAACCGGTGGTTTGATGTAAACAGAGCAGAGCAACGCTCTAATACATATAAATAAAGACTGAATGAATAACTGAATAAAGTAACTGACTGCTGGATTGTAGCTTTTTAGTAAAACTTTGTAACCACTGAGAGAACTCTGGGTTCAGGATGAAGGCTACGAGATCAAGCCTGTCATCATCACTAAAAGCAGCTTGTTAAAAACAGACAAACAGCATTGTGCTTGTTTGTGGTCATAGATCAACAAAGTCAGGACAGTGAAAGCGATGGAGGAAGAGAGCCAAGAGCTGTGGCTATGGAGAGTTTGCAGAGTTTTCTTGGAAAAACAGAGATGGGAAAGTTGACCTGTGGTTATGCTTGTTCCTAGTAGAGGTGTTAGGGTTTAGTTTACCTCCAGGGACACACCCATCAGTGTGCTTACCATCTTTCTCTCTTTTAACCGCAGTCAATAAAGTGTCTTTATTGTGTGTGGAGAATGCCCACAAACACCCAAATATAATACATTTAGAGACTGTAGTAGTTTGTGGGGCAGAGCTTCACTTTCAAGCAGTCGTTGGGTGAATCTGATATTTAAAATGAACAGAGCCTTTGTCTACACAGCAACGATGTTTGCATGTTTGAAAGAAGGTGTGCCAAACTATGAGTAGGTGTCTGTTGTCTGTTTTTTCCAGATATCACTTCCTTGTTGAGCTAAAATGATAACACTGTAAACTAGTACATTTGAAGGATTACATTTAGATTCTCAAAGTTTCATTATTTTATTTGAACTTATACTATATCCATTTACAGATGCATACAAGTATGGTGTGAAATTCACTTCAAACACGTACACACACGCACAGTTGTTTGTCGCCAGATGCCACGTTTATTTCTAGTTTTCATTTGTTATGACCGTCCACAGTCTGACAGCTCCGGTCTCAGCTGATTTCCAGCTCTCCCTCCGCTCCTCTCCCGTCTCACTATAAAAGGGGAAGGAAACCATCATCAGTCCAAACGCCATCAGCTGTTCTCACCTGCGTCTCCAGCACCGCCCCGTTGAGCTCACCGCACCACTCCTCCCCTGCAGCCGCGCCCGGGACCACACCTCCACCATATATGGTTTTAAGACGAATGCAGCAGTATGAGTGTGCTGGTTTGGGACACAAATGTCATCTACCTACCAACAAGCAGAGGGTAAATAGAAATCCCGTCCATAGGCTTGATTTCTTGCATTTGCGCAATATCTCTGTTTTAGAAATCACATGACTATCCAGTGTTGCAACCAGGAAAGAGTTGCAGTCTTACACACCTCCCTGCAGCTTCTCTCCTCCTGCTATGACCCCAAACCCCATCACCATAGCAACTGTGTCTGCTCACAGACCGACAAACCAACCAAAACCGACTTAAGCATAAAACAATCACAAAGAAAGAACAACATAGTTTCCTCAGCTCCATCAGTGTGTCTGTTATACCCCATTCCTGAAAGAATGCTTAAAGACTTCCTACCATTGGTTAAATGATTCAATATAAAATGTTGTGGAGGTGAA